TTAGAGATGTGAGTTGTAAATATGTTCAGTTGAAACTGCCGGTATTAGGCCCGGCAATCTAAAACCGAATTTCTCACAATGTAGGCTATTTTTAAAGTACAATGCGTGATGAGATCCTTTATTAACCGACTGACTGGAGCAAATAATTTGGGTCCAGCTTGTCACAATGGAGTTGGTCAGAAATGCTAAGGACTGATAATCTAGAAAAAAATTTATATGACAAAAAATTGAAATGTAGAAATTCTTTGCAATGTTTACACGGGTCTAAATGTACGACCTCGGGTCGATACATCTATATAATATAGTCTAGAAAGCAATACAAGAACGTTGGGACTTACATCTATTTTAGATAAAATAATGGGAACATTTTTCAATATGTGACCTTGGAAATATCAGGCCCCCTGATACTCCAAATAGATACACATTCCAGGGGACACAATCGCATGTATTAGACCTTCATATATTTTCAGTGGATCTACTTATACAGGGGTTTTATGCTAATTTTGAATTACTGGACCGTGCATTTCTTTCTGTAGTTAACCTATAAGGAATTTTTGCGATTACTATTGCTTGCCTGACCAAGGTTGGTCATAATTCTTCCACCTGTTCAAGGACCTTACGTACACACAATGGGTCCAAGGCTCGGCAGATTCTGACAGATAAAGATTGCACAGCGATAGTAAAGCATCCAGAGACGGTGACAAGTGAAGGTCTCGCGATAACACACTGTGGTCGTCTGAAACAAAATTATATGACATTATGCAGAACAACATTCTATACACCGTATTACTGACGGATCCCGGGCGACAAACTCGTAAACCTGCAATATAGGTGCGATGAACACAAACGCGGCAGACAGGGGGGCAAATTCATGGTACCTTTGGATTGATGGAATATCAAAATGTGTTTTGTCATTATAATCTATCAAACCATTCAAAACAATAGAAAGATTCAAAATTTTTATTTGTCCATTTATTCAGACAGGTCATGGTTAACTACAGTCGTAACAGAATAGAATACACAATATATACATGATAGTATATTTACACATACAGTTCTATAATATGTCAGTCATCACACAGGTATAATTTGTTCTTCATAATTAAAATAATCATTATATAATTGATCATGCTGATCAGGTAACAAACATATAAACAAAGCCTGTATACAACCTTTACTTGAGCACATTTTCATTTTTAATTTTGGATTTCTTTTTTAAAAGGCAATCTTCTCATCACCGCAAAACTTTCCTCTAGTCATATTTTTAATATAAAACAGCTCTTAACAAACTACTTTTGTTAATATGTTCATCTTCAAAAAGAAAACAAAAACATACAGAACAAGAAGTACAAATTTAAGTAAAATATACAGTGTACCAGTGCATATATTCACTTTATGCAAAGCACTTATCAACTATGTGGGCAAGTCGAGATAACACTTGCAAATTACCTAAAAATTCACCTTTAGTGCAAACAAGGTGCATGTAATATGAATCCATATTGACATTGGAATATATAAAATAAAGATATCAGTATGATAATTATGCCTAGGCTGATGAATACAATATCATCACAGTGTTAATCCTTCTCAGAATGTTTCTAATAAATAATCAGAATAAAATTAACAGGCTCTACCCTTTTAAATCCGTATGCTTCTAGGTTTTGAAACAGTGAAAAAGAGTATTTACTTTCATGTGCTAAAATACCAGTTTTCAAGATAAATTTCTAAGGAGTAAATCAAATGTCTTAAAAATCATCTACATTGTGTGCCCTGTCCAAAATTTATATTTGGCCAAAACAAATGCACATGAGGTATAAATGAAAGAGGGAGGAAATTTAAGTTTTCACAAAAATCCACTGAATATTCTTGCATGAGCATGATCTAGAGGCATAAAACCATTATTAATTTTGTACATTCCATTTATGAGGCAGCATTAAACTTATTATCGTGTTTGATACCAGTAGGTGCTAGCAGATATGGCAAGTTGCAGGCAGCAATTTACTGTTACTTTTATTTCAGTCACAAGGAAAACTATGAAGAATCTAAGCAGTAGCCAGAGCTCGGGTGTGCCTTCAAGTTGTAATAATTCTTGAGTAACAACTGTATCTTTTTGAAAATGTACATGTAAATACATGCAAAACAACTCTTAAAACAATATATACATAAATGCATATTCTGTTAGGTTTACCAGCAGCACATATACATAATTTTATACTGCCTGCTACTGCCTTCAAGGTTGAGATCATACGACAAACGCAAACCCAGATTATTCATCAGATCTGTCATATATATGGTAAGGCATATTCTCTAGTTACCCTGATTCTGGTTTGCACTTGTTGTGTTTTTTCTTAGTCTTATCACTTCATTTAACTCACAGTTTTTCTTGTCTGGACGGTAGAGTCAAGTGAATTTTAAAAAACTCAGTAACCATGAAATCCATATTGACATTTGCCCTATTATACCTTCCCATCACAGATTTTCTCCTAAGTATTGCCAAGAGCAATAACCCCCTCCAGGTCATTACTCAGATGTCTATTTATCTGCTAATATCTCACTGAGTAAGTAGCAGGTTTCCATGTGATCTGATCCCACAATGTGTTCAAATTTTGGCCTGCAAAATAAAGAAAAATATATTGAGATTTTATTCTTTTGAGATTGTATACAAAAGGGCATCTTTTTATTGTTTCTCAAAATGTAGAAGGGCTTTAATAAAGAATGACTTTTTTCTTGTTATCGGTATTAACTTGTAACAGAAAAAAAACACAGGCTAAATGCATACAAATTAGATGCTTTAAATAGAAAATGCTCTTTAATCTTTATCAATACTGAATTCTTTCACACTTCCAAGAATTAATAAAATAGAAATCCTTCAATCTATGTTAAAGGGATAATAACTCTTCATATGAAATCTATATTTCACGATAAAAACATAGTGAATAACTCATAGAAATATAATATATTCTGTTTTACCACAAAAACAGCAGTTATAGCTATTATTCTGATATCTGAGCTTGTCTTCAGATCACGTGACCTCCATTGATGTCTATACTCTGTTATAATCTCTTAAGAGATTTTAACAAAAAACCAAACTTTTTAGAAAAAAACCAGGGACTAACTTTGAATGTAAAAATGGATTCATTAACCATTGGTAAGTATGGGAAAATTGTTGTTTACTCCAGGAAAATTCATTTTTTGGCCAAAACAAAGAGTTATTATCCCTTTAAGTTTCCTTTTATATTCTTTTCGGACTTACCCAAATCCCTCCTCATCTATGCCTTCCATTTCACAGAAATTCTTGACTTCCTCAAATTTGTTTTTGCCCAAAGCCTGCATGCAGTGCCTGAAATGATCAATTACAAAACTTTTTAATGGTGTATTTTTTATAAAATACAAAATGTGAACATTTATATTTGGAGTAAATAACTGTCAAGAACTTTATTTCTAAACATCATCTATTTTATCTAATATATGTGGAAGTTCAGTTTTACTTTTCTTAGTGATGAAGGTAACTATTTGAAATATATTCATTATCCCAAAGGTTTTAGTTCATAGATTAACTGCTCAGTCACCAGTAGAGTATTTTTGTGCCTTATTTCATTTTCGTGGCTAGACTTTAGTCAAAGAAGTATTTTTTAATTTAAATTTTCAATAACATATACATAATACTCAATCAACTTACTCTCTAATAAAATGTCTGCAGGATGATGATCCATCTCCATGTTCATCTACAATTATCTCATCACTTCCTGCTGGGAGTTCATTGGCTTCCTTAGCAGATGCCAACAGGTTATCAAGGTCCTGAAATAAGTTGTTTTAAATGTATCATGTAAATGAGTTTTAACAAACAAAACAAGTGAATACAAATAAACAATTGAGTTAGCACTAGAATGATGCAAATTCTGGGAGGATTTGCCAAAAACAAGATTTTATTTTGTAAACTTTGGATAAAAGTTTAAGAAGTAACATACCAGTAAGCTTTCTACTGCAACTGTAGTCTTATCCACAGTAAGTACAGGCAAAGGATATTTAGTAAGTAAAGGATAACATTTGATAAAACTTTTTTGTGTAAATTGAAAGTACAGTTTCAATAATTCATATAGTTTGGCGATTGAAAGTATCAAGTTCACATACCCCTTCCATATAATCTTCAAAATCATCATCATAGTCATCTTCCTGGGCTGAGTCAGAATTCTCACTATCTTCCACTTCTGGCAGTTCCTCAGGAATTTCTGTAAAAGAGAAGATAAGTTTTTGTATACAGGAAATTTATCATGTACTAGATGTATAACTTCATCCAAATTTACTGCAAACTTTACTTAACTAGCTTTACTTCTTGATGTGTGAGATCACTTTACTGAAGCCACAAACAGCGAGTTTACATTTCTTACTGCATTCTATTAGTCTTTACTTTAATCTAAAACATTAAGTGTTCCTTTAATATAATTAAGTTACTTCTGGCTATTCATATTTTCAATCATATCTATCAAATAGCCACATTCTTATAAATAGACTTAACATAATATCAAACCATAAAAGTAAGCCCAATCCCAAACTTAAGACACACACATTCAAAAATGAAATAAAATATCTATATCTGCCCTAAATAATTTTGAAAATCTTTTAACCACAATTAAGTTAGCACATATAATATTTACTACTGGGTAAATCACAAGAGCTACATGTACCAGTATGCATTTACATCTAACAACCACACTTTGTGAAATATAAGTTTTGTAATTGTGATCAACACAGGGAATGAAAGATGGTGAACGCTGTTTTGGAGAGGTTTGAATACTTTTTTTTCTAAAATTGACAGCTAACATCAAATTTTGCCAAAGGAAAGTCAACATGCATACACACGTACTCACCATCCATGTTACTTAGAATCTGCTTGTAAGCTACAAGGGACAAATGGTTTTACAATGCTTCACTATTGTTATAACAAGAAGCAAGCAACATAAATTCAATATTGCACAATATATGCCATGGAAGCAACTGAAGTTCTAGTTTTACAGGTTATGGCAATGGAAAGCCATTGCTATATGTAAATAACCATCATAATGTTTACTTTGCTACTACAAATTTACCTGCATCCCTAGGCCTACATAAACAATGTTAGATTGGCAATTTTTTTGTGATACATTATTAGTGTGTGATGCTAAATTATCTACGTACATAATAATATCTCAAGCAAGGGTACAAACCTTCTTCCACATCTGAAGCTGAATTCACTGCCTCTTCATCAAAATCATCTGAGTAGTCTGACTCCTCTCCCTCATTACTTGTTTTCACATCTGGCAGTACTTCTTCCACAATTTCACTGTCTGAGTAAATAAACAGCTGGTTAACAATCTCAGAAGACTGAGAAACAATAAAAAACTGTCCCTGATTCTAATGCAAGGCTCATGCGAACATATCAAATTTCATCATAGGCAAGAGATAGACTAGAGTTTGACTGAAGATGTAGATATATTTTTTCTTTCGTTAAGGGTTCAAGATGCCTTTACGTTGTAAGCACAAGGTATCAAAAATGGAAACTTCAAACAACTAAATTCATCATAATTGTCCTTCAAATTATACCTTTATTAACATCTGAAAGCACATCTACAGAAAAATCATTACTGTCTCCACTGCTCTTGACATAACTGCTGTCACAGGAAGAAGAATTGGTTGTGTCTGGGTGAGCTGTACTTGGCCTCTGCCTTCTCAGACGAGGGCCTTCTTTGGCTGGGGTGGGTTCTACTGAGAGGCTGCGGCTAAATTGCAATAGATATGTGCATATTAATATCAGACATGTCAAATACTGATCAGGTTATAACTAACAAATACTTAAGGTCGTGTTGGAACTGGGAGTTCAGAAGAACCACAATGAACATTTTGATGTAGATTTTACGTCATTTTTCTAGGCAAGTCGACATTTTCAGAAGAAAAAAAAATCATTTTATAAAATCTTTAGGCTCTTTAGCCTAATTTTAGCTAACAGGATATATAACCTTACGTTATCAAGCACTGTAGCACACAAGTTTGTGAATGATGCTTTTATTGAAATCTACAGTTATAAACAAAATTACATAAATTGTACAATAATATAGATTATGATACATTTAATATGAAAAAAATAACAGAAAGATGAATGCAAAAAGCAACAACTTACTTCAATGGGGAGCTTTTTGGTCGATTTGAAGCACCTTTAGAAAATTGCAAGGATGTATCTTTGATGATTTTCTGCTGCAGAAGATACTCCTTCTCTTCTATAAACTCAGATAAATGCTCTTTCACAAAATGTAGATTCAATATTGCACTAGCACTAAAAGATAAAAAAAAAGGATAATTTCTGCCATCATCATTTTTACATCACAGAAATAATATACATGAAACACCTTAAAATTGTTACTCAGATATTTACTGTAACATTTATTTTTAAGAATCGAACCAGTTTTAAATCAGATAAGCCATGCTTCACAAGTACTAATATTAATTTGTGATAATATTTTGGAAACAAAATGATTAAAAACTTATGCTGTATTTCAAAATATTACCTTGGTCTTTCCTCTGGGGACTTGTTTAAAATGGTTTTTACCAGATCTTTGAAAGCATCAGAATAAATATCAGGTACATCCTAGGATAAATTAACATAACTTATCAATTAAGACATACAATTGCACAAACAATTCTGGATAGTAATTGAAACTATGAGAAAGTATGAGAAAACATCGATATTATCCTTACTATTTAGGAATCATCAAATACAATGTAACAAATAAATATTTTCAACATAAAACCAAACTTTTAAAAACTTAACTTTTGCCAATAGAAAAGCAAAATATATGTGCATATGCCTACATGAAGACATTTTAAATAGACTTCTTGGGGTAAATGTAATATCACTTACTGCATACTCTCCTCTGACTATCTTATAGAACAGGCTGACCAGATTGTATGCATCAAAGGCTGGAGCTAAGGCACACATTTCATAGAGAAGGCATCCCAAGGCCTGAAATACAACACATGACAACATCATCAACAGCTAATTTTGTATGAAGTATAGTACCAAATGACCCTCATCTCTCATTAAATAAATGTAAGTTGAAAGGAAAAGAAAAAAACAGCAAAATGCATTGTACAAAGAATACACTGCTTAGTATGTGTATTTGTCTGCTAGGACTCAATTGTATTTCTACTGAAAAGACATATTTTTACACACACACACACGCATGCACGCACGCACGCACGCACGCACACACACACACTCTCCTAAAAATTAAGATCAATATAATGGCCTACCCAGATATCTGACTTTGAGCTGTATGGAATGTCTTGACATAGTTCTGGACTAAGGTAACATGGAGTACCAACACAAGTCATGGCCATGTCTAATGTGTTGTCCATCATTTTGGATATGCCAAAGTCACCTGAATATAAATACATATATATATATATATATGAAACAAATGCTGGGTTATTTGTTTATTTATACACCTCACATGGACTATAATAATTTACCATGAAATGTTGCTAAGGTGACAAATGATAAAGATTTTGATACTTGACATCAAAAGGCTAAATAAACCGATTCACAACAAATAGATATTGATGCATCAAATGCTCTACAAGACAGACTGCCTTGTGTGTCTATGTGTGCTAATCAATAACATTCAGAATAGATGTTCAGGCACAATTTCAATATTTCAAATTCACTAACCTAATTTAACAACACCCTTCTTGGTGAGAAAAACATTCTGACTTTTCAAATCTCTGAAAGGAAATATATGTCAATTTATCAGTTTTAAAAAACACTGAACAAATATAATGGACCAATCAAGTTTTTGTAATAGACATTTCACCAAAAAGGGATTTAAAGATTTAATTACATTGTTCAGAGGACAAAACCACAACTGTGATACTAGACTGTTCAAAGAGGTTCTGGGTATAAGTAATTATGGACTGTACTAGGGTTTCTAATGGGTGTCTATAGGGTTGATTTTTTTTTTTTTTTTTTTTTTTTGAGTCCCTGAAGAAGGCAGCAAGCCAAAAGCTCAGACATTGTGCCAAACACGGTAGATCTTTATAGATGCATTTAAATGTAACATATTCATTACTTAGACTGTTCAAACAATAAGTTCAAATCTAGACCAAAATAAGTTCTTAATACCTGTGTAAAATCTTCTTGGAATGCATATGTTGAACAGCCATTGCAATCTGAATAAACCACTGAAAAAAGACAACAGGATATATTTTAATCCTGAGAAAAAAAACTAACAAACAAAGAACACATTGTTTATCTATTTCATCATTTCTTCAAAAAACACCTTTATAATCATACATTATGTTTATGTTGTTTTTTAATATTAACTACATTTTTACATATATGGTGATCCCCAGGTTATGCTTACATGCANTTTTTTTTTTGAGTCCCTGAAGAAGACAGCAAGCCAAAAGCTCAGACATTGTGCCAAACACGGTAGATCTTTATAGATGCATTTAAATGTAACATATTCATTACTTAGACTGTTCAAACAATAAGTTCAAATCTAGACCAAAATAAGTTCTTTATACCTGTGTAAAATCTTCTTGGAATGCATATGTTGAACAGCCATTGCAATCTGAATAAACCACTGAAAAAAGACAACAGGATATATTTTAATCCTGAGAAAAAAAACTAACAAACAAAGAACACATTGTTTATCTATTTCATCATTTCTTCAAAAAACACCTTTATAATCATACATTATGTTTATGTTGTTTTTTAATATTAACTACATTTTTACATATATGGTGATCCCCAGGTTATGCTTACATGCATGATATCTTTTTCAGGGAAGAAGGACTGTGTCTGAAATTAATAATGTGTTCATTTTATCATATCCAGTATATAAAAAGCATGAAAACAATATCTCTGTTCATTTTGGTCTTAATACATCCTATATGAAAACAGCATAATAGTCTCAAATTTATCATAGAACAATGACTCAGCTTTACTCTTACGAACAAGTATTTTAAATATGTAATATGTCTGAATAATACAAAAATGCATGATATGGTTACCACAGCAGCAGCTTTAATCTTGTCATCTAGAGTTCCTCCATCACAGTAATCCTACAAGAAATTAAATACCTTCTTATTCCTTAAATTTACAAAATTAAATTATTAATAATTTACATAAAGTTAAAAAAACATTAAATCATAAAATACCATATTATATATGGACAATTCAAAAAGACTGATAAAGAAAAGATAAAAACCTAAACAAACAATCAGCACAAAATCATATTCATTAGCACATTAGATAAAAACACTGGAAAAACTTCACTGAGCTCAACAAAAAAGGAAGAAAGCGCAATGAATTTACCTGAACAATATAGAGATATTCTTCTTTCTCATCAAAGAAGGAATCATGATATGACACTATATGAGGATGCTTCAATTCAGCTAGGATACTGTAAGATAAAAAAAGAATGTAATGTATATATTGTTTAAATCAACAACCTTACTAATTTCACATATAATATAACTCATCGGGAAAATAAAAATGTGTGTGTGTGTTTCTTTTTCTCTCTTTACTTACTTAGCCTCACGTAAAACAGCTTCTTTTGTACGAGTTTTCTTTTTCTCATCTAGCTCAATCCTCTTCATTGCTAACATCCTACATAATATCAAGAATGTTACAAAAATTAATTACATGGATACAATAATCAGCATCAGCATCATCATCTCTGCAGTTTTGCAAATTATTACACCTCTACATTTAACAAAAATATTTAAAGTAAAAGCAACTCACTTGATTTATTATTATTACTTATATATTTTTCTCAAACTTACGTGAGGTCAGAGACAATTAAGACTGGAGATTTAAACTTCCAGTAGCTTAAAGTTCACACTTACTTTTTGGTAGACATGTTTCGCACGAGCATCACCTCTCCACATGCCCCTTTTCCAATGGAGTGTATTCGTTCATACTTATCCATGATTTTAAATGATATATGTATTGACCTAACACTGACCAAATGACTCCTTGTTCTATTTCATAAGAGTCACATTTACATTGCTATTTCTCCAGCTCCACAGTACACCTGAAAATAATAAAAAGTTATTGCGCGTTCATATTAACTTTACTAGCAGAACATTGAGAACACAAATACCGAGTTCTTCTGGACGATGTTGGGGAAACTTAGGAATGTGAACCATACACAAATACTTTCTGACTCATCGCTGTTTTAAATTTCCCGATTTAGTGCCACCGTTTGACAAAGGAATGTTATTGATTCTTGTGTCAAGTTTTTAAAGAAATTATATGATCTTAGTTTTTAGTTTATATGAATTGAAGGCCAAAACGAGTTTAATTAGCACATATGACGTAAGATTTAAAACTCATACCAGCAATTTAACTAATTAAAACTTGTGCAATTCAAGTTGTTCCGAAGTTTAGAAGCTCTTCCGCCATCTTGTTTACAAATATAAAAAGGATAAATGTGTACTCCGATACCGACAAATCGGGTCAAGGAAGTGCCCTGGATGTAGTAGGCTTACTTGGCGCAAGGAGTTGTGACAGAAGCTCCTTGCTTGGAGCTAGCCTTACTTTTTAAAAGTTTTCATAAATCCTCTTTATTAAACTAAATTAATAAACTAAACGAAACTAAATTCTAATTATTCAAATGTGGATATTATTTTGATCCCCAATGTTCATTTAAAGATTAATTATAGTTTTGTCAAGGAGTTATAACAGAACCTTCTGTTATAACTACTTGGTTTTGTAATTAGGCCTATGTTTGACTAGACTGCTTGGACATCGAAATACTTTTTGGTAGCTATATGTATAGACTGTAAAACGTTCAAAAATGGCTCTTGTTTTCACCATACATTTCCATGTTCTCACATATAGGCCTATAACGTTTTTTGATAGTCTTGCACTCTGTACACACAGCCATTTGAGTGACATTTATCTCCTGTTGGTCTTTTTGTATTAACATCTCCCATCCTTAATAATCTCTAATCTATACTGAATAATTAGTTTTATGTTTTTAACCCGAAAGTCATTCAGGTACCTACAAAAAAAGATTCATTGTGCCGATTTTTATCTCTAACCAAAATCCTCGTTACTCCGACATTTCAGTAAAACTAAGGTTCACTGCTACGAAAATTAATTGGTTCGAAGGTGTATTTCTGTCCCTCTCGCCTATATTCAGTCATGTTTTGCATTCAAAATACTGGTATAAAATAACTAGTCTACGCTGCCTAAAAAATTAAATGTTAAAATTGTTCGATGAACTCGTGCAGGTTGTCGCGAAAATCCTTAATCGTAGAAAAAAAAAAGAAGGATATTTTACATAGCTTTATCGCTTTAGTACCGAAATCATATTTTGTGGATATTTAATCACACAACTTGTAGAACAACTTGCGCTATTGTATAAGCATGCATCTGAGGCTACTGTTGCTGACTGCTAAAAGGCAAGCACCGACTGTGTTACCTTTATTATGTCACTTACAGCCGTATATCCGGTACATTCAATCGTCCCTATTGGTATATTGTCTTAATCTGTGCTGTTTTTGAATTATACTGTACATACCAGTAGGGCCTACCCCAGAAGCCCTAAGGGATGAAATTTGTTTCGTAAAAAATTGCTTTTGTCTTTTTACTCCACAAAAAAGAAGAAAAACATATTTACAGAAATCGGAGGTTTTGAAAGATTCATTTCCTACATTTTTGTATTAAATGGCCGTTTTGAAAATAAAACACGGCGAATGAAAATTAAAAAGTCGTCATCATCATCATCATGAACGGTTGGGTCGGAGCCGACCAGCCGTGGCCCCCTTAACAAAAGCTCTCCAATGGTTACGATTTTGTGCCATTCTGACTGCTTGAACCATGGACTCACATAGGTCCGTTAAATCGTCGCTGTATCGCGTTTTAGGTTTACCGCGTCCCGAGGTCCGTATACTGTTCTAATAAATAATGATTTTTTTCCTTTGTTGGCCTCTCAGAATGTGTCCCACAAGGGTAAGCTTTCTCTCTGTGTCTCAGCACTTTATCATAGACCTGGTAACCCAGCTGATTCTAAGAACAGGCCGAGAGCACCATAATTCAAAACTTTCTAATCTCTTCCTGTCTGATTTGTCTCCTTTGTGTTAAGAGAAATGCTTATGTCCTTCCAGACCATTGTAATTCGTCGTTTTATATCTGAAGTGTCATCGGATTTATCAGTGCATATCGCACTAAGATAGATAAATTATTTCACGTTTTCAACCTTCTCAGCAGTGATCAGGATATGACCGTTTCCTACATCCTCTTCAGTGTGTCTCTGTATCTTCATCACCTTTGCTTCCTTAGCGTTTAGAAAAAGACCAACTCTCTCGCTTTCTGTTCTCACCCTGTCAACCAATTCTTACAGTTTGGACGTAGAGCTCACAATAAGGATGAGACATCAAATAATAATCAATAAGAAAGACATGACTGAAAATCAAGAATTCAGGTTATAGTTATTATTATTAGGCCTATAATATAGGAAACTATTGTGACGTCACAATAGTTTCCTATTTTATAGACCTAATAATATCGGCATTATTACATCTTGGTCACAACATGACGTCACAATGCCTCAATGGAGACAAAAAAATTCACTCCATTTCTCCCTGAAATACGATAGGTCTAAATGATAAAATATTTAAAGGATATTGATAGTTTTTTAAGTAAATGGTTGCAATAATAACCTGAAGTATTCTTTTTGCTAAGCTAAGGTTCGGTTGGAAAAACTTTTAACGCTTTTCTCGGAAAAGCAAAGCGTTATTCTCATTCAATTTATTGTGACGTCATATTCACGTTTATATAGTTCGACTGAATCGTCAATAATCTGACATTTATCTAAATAATTGTGAAAACATGAATAACTTGCAGAAAACAATTTCAAGGTATTTGCCAACAAGGTAAGAGATATTTTGTTCTTTTTTTAATGTCAAACTTTATATTTATCGTTTTACAGCGATGTAAACAATATTAGCATTTCCACTTTGAGCACAATTGTTGTGAACAGACAGAAAATTCCGTATTCTGTGTGTAGTGTTAAGTGACCTTTAATGAGCACTTTGTATTGAAATTAATTCAGGAATTATGTCCTTAATTAATTTCAATACAAAGTACACTTTGCATTCAAGTTGTCTATATTGCTAATTTATATTTAGTCAATTATATTGTTATTATTATTTTTTTTAATTTGTCTGATTTGTACAGAAAGGAAAGTGGTGCTGTGGTGAGGCTTCCTCACCTGGAGGAGGGTGGAAGGAGACACCCCTGCCCCTTGCCAATAGCCATGAGAGGAATAGCCACTCAGGGCCTCCCAAGTTTGGTCCCGATTGCCCGATATCCTCATCGCCCCACAGAGCCACGCCCAGAAGTCCTCAGGCCACTGGGTAGACATGTCGTCGCAGCAGACATTGGGGCTCGACCACAACTTGGTAAGCAAGATCCTGCATGTGTTCAACGTTCCTTTCAAGGAGGCAAGAGAAACTCTTCAATAAGATCGCTGGGGGAGCACGTTGAGTATTTCAGAGAAAAGAAGATCCGACCTAGAGGTCTTCATCAGCCCCAAGGCTTTGTAAGCAGACGGGCGGCCGTTCTACAGAATCCCGAATAATCGGACGTGCAGACAGCCCCCAGATCTTGCCACGGAAATCTTGAGAATGTGAGTATTCTCAAGCCCAATACTCAAAACAGGAGAAAGTAAAATGGACACCTGACCCACCTGTTCGTGCAATAATGCCAATATGGACAATAAGATACGAGATGGATGTTCTGAGCATGTGACAGATTCTCATTTTGATGAATTACCGTTTTTATTGCTATATTAGTAAAAAGAAAAAGGGGGGGGGGGATCACCAACAGATAGATTACAACTTACCATTTTTGCATGTGGCTTTCACGTGGTTAGCTGTTTGAATATCTCGAAAAGGAAGGATGGGACTAAGAAATCTAGTTAATCCATTGAGGACAAAGTGAACACAGTTGCGACTGTTTGAGTTTATCGGTACACTTTGATAAGAAAAAATAGTGCAGCAAGGAAGTGGTTTGATGCAGTTTCGTTCAGACTTAAAACTGATATCATACTTGTGGAATTCATCATAAAGTGTTTCTAAATTTGACTTATTTTGAACACGGATGCAAAGATAACTTATTCCGTTGGTGATATATTGTTCTAATTTTAATGTTAAATGGATAGGCCTAACCTTCATCATCATTTATCTTGTGATTCATCGTCATCAAATCCGAGTGAACGCACTTTCTTAACATAACACCGAATAAAATGTGTTTCTTGAAATGTCAAAATTCCCTTTTTTTGTAATATACACTGTCATTGTTAAATAGAATAACAAAACATGGAATGTGGAAGATGTGTTCACTGCCACCAAACCAAAAACAGTATCTCTGCAATATTCAGAGCCATTTCAACCACTCCCTGAGTGATATTGTGAATCAGAGACAGCCCAATATTGTGGTTAACTTGCGTACCATGAATATAAAAAGTAAAAATATGGTAGGCCCAAATAGCAGAGCGGGTTTGCTCTTACTTGTGAGGCAATATCTAATATCATTGTAGCAATTGTATCCACTGAAAAGTCTGCAGAGACAATCTATTCATAAAATCATTTTATTTTAAATGCAGTAAAATGTTGTAAAGGGACTTGCATAAACGATGAATAGTCATAAATGTTATATCAACTATTAAAATATAAATTAACATATGAAAATGTGGAAATTAGATATTGTTGGTTGATTCGTTAGTATTTTTTTAGTTACTCATATTACTCAAAGCTCCCTGAAACTATTACTTATACCTCATAAAATAGTAGGCCTATTTTTCTTTACTTTTATGTATGTTTATACAGATCTCTGATGCAAACAATAAGCATTTTCTGTATTTTTTTCACCTGTCATTAAAATCAATTATTAAGTGCCCGTGAAATGACTTTGATTCAAATCAAGCCATAACCAATTTAAGTCGTACTTATTGTATAGCTACTTAATGCCATCATATAATTGTGCGAAATCGTAACTAAGTGAAGACACTATGTTTTGACAATAAAACTTCCTACTTTTTTATAAGAACAACATGTTGCTAGCATAGCAACAAAGGCAATCTTAATAATCATACCTCGTAGAATTTGACCGCACCGGGCCATACCGCGTTCATACATGCTCGAATGCGAACACCTACCAAAGTAATATTGAGTCGCCACGTTTTTTGATCAACCTCAATCACAGCTATGCCATAATATTCTCAATGCATTTACATTTACATATCTAGTAAATACCATTGCATTTAAAATCCTGCACAACGTACCTCAGACAAACCTGTATATCTTTATAGATTTATCTTATTCACGAGAAAATAATATTCTCAGTATAGAATGTGCAAGCAATGTAGACATGTGCTGTTAGCCAGAGCAGCGAGTTAAGAAGCCTTACTACCCTTTGGCCGTCTTTTTGCTGTCTGCGACTGAATAAATTCCAAACGATCAAACGATCAACTGTTTGTCATGTTAAACGTTTTCGAACTTTCTTATGTGACTTTTGACCGTAGACATCGGTTCTAAATAACCCCCTTCATATGGATTCATTTCTTCATATGCTCCTTCATCGTTGTCGTCAACTGTGACAACGTGATGTGGTTGTGATGTTTCATCCAGTATTTCTTGAAGTTTCAATGGCAGTTTTTGCTGCTGTTCTTGTTCGTCTTTGTCCGCTGTTGTCTGTTTTTCCTTACGTCTCGTTTTCCTCTTAGGTTTGGGATCCTTTGGTGAAATTTTTTCATCGTCACTTTTGTTATTTTCAGAGACTGAAAACTGTGATAAAACTCTGTAGTGTCCCTGTTCGTCATTTTTCATGTCGCTTTTCTCAAGGCCAGTGTAGACATTCGCTTCTGATGGTCGTTTCTTCGCAATGCTGCAAACTGGAGTTTCGTTCCTTCTTCTCCTGTAGAAAAAAGAAGAAACCGTTTCAAATTGTAGAATAATACTTACTAAATGCGGAGTGCTTGCACCAGCTTATAATGGAATCTCAAACAAAACTATAGTGTTACCAAACTACCAGTTGCACAGAGTTTCAGGTTTCGTGACTTTCATTGTACACATTTGCCATTCATTTAATGTGTCTATACTGTAAACCTATGAGCTATATAAGTATTTGTATATACGGGCTCAATGTGAATCCATATGATCACAGGGCATAAGTAAAAAGTGAGAGACAACAGCGAAAGAGAACGCCCGGAAATAAAACGTACCTTCGACGATCACGCCAGTAGCACAATCCCACAACGGCACAAACGATGATTAAAAGAACAGAAGGGATTACAGCAGCTGCTATTGTAGCTGAAATGTAAATACAGTTATGTTGGGACGGCGTGATGCTATTGTTTTTCAACTTGTTTAATTAGTATAAACACACGGGAACCATACATGTGGACTTTTCAAGATATTCGCAAAATAATATTTCAGAAAGTGAGAAAAGACAGCAAGGCCAGACAAAACTGATAAGTTGGTTAACAAGTGGCGACCGTCTAAAAATAGGGTCGGTCTGTAAACGTGTGGATTAAAAATTGATTTGCACAAAATCAGGATCGGTCATTAAGCAACTGATCAATTTTACCTAGTCGTATTTTAGATTTTTCATTTATGCCCTAATACTTTTACATTTACCATACTAGAGAATTATCTCAAACAGCTTCATCTCACCTGTTCGCATTGCCGCGATTTTCTCTTCCAACTCCCTTACAGTCCCATTGCTTGTGTAATTTTGTCTGCTCTGGTTCGATGCCGGCACCACAGTTTGAGGTTGCGGAACACTGGTTGTGGTTGAAGTGTCTCGTCGCGGTGCGTTTGACGTTGTACTAGATTCTGAAAGATGTTTATACCTTCGGTAATGTTCTGCATACACACAACGCGACACTGAAACTAGGTTTACAATACCAAACTATAAACCAAGGATGATGTTCCAAATGAGTTTTTCGCGAAACGGGCGAATTATACGTATTTTAAATTTTTTTTTTCGAGATAACATATGGTAACATAGAGTATTTACGTAAAAACCACGTGGTCATAATTGCAAAATTTTTGTGCAAGTGATTATTTCCCTTTATTAATGTCCTGTTGCAAAACCGTTTAGAATTAATGCTTATTAATAAAACATTACGTTCCGGGTTTTTTAGTAATAGGCGTAATAACTACAGTTTGGTTACAAAACGCACCTGCAACACATGTGAATTTCAAAGAAGGATCTTTAACAAAATCCGTGCCATTGTAATACTTCCAAGTATTGGTCACCAAATGGGGTTCCTGCGCTGTGTCAGTCACATAAATTCCAGCATTATTTCCCCCAAGAGTTTTACCAACTAGCCACTGTCCTTTGCCCTCCAAAAAGAACACAAATATATCCCTGTATAAAAACTCTCTTTTGTAGGAAGGACGACTAGGATCACCCGTGGATTGCGGATCAAGCAGGTAATAGTATTTAAACACTTTGTCCTCCTGGAATTTCAGTGCCTCATTGCTTCCCTCCAAGTAATATCGACTGCAATGACTGGCTGGAATAAATTTCACCTCATTAATTCATTTTATTCATTATTTGATAAAAGAGGCCAAATGAACTAGCAAATCTATAACAGATATTAAATCCCACCATATAAAAGTAAAATTTCAATAAATAAAGCCATTTATATTTTTATAAAACATTTACCTGCTTCTATTACCACCAACGCTGGCACGAGCAGAAGACCGAAAAGAATTGAAGTTAACAGCTGCATATTTACATCCAACGTATGTACCTGAAATTAAAAGGCGGTCTTAATTCACAGATAACTACATAAATATGAAATAGAGAGAAAGGAAAGAGACTCCAAATACTTGCATCCGAGCCATCAGAAATCTGACGTTGCCGGTCGCTTTTATCATATCCGTCATATCACCTGTAATGTCATATAAACCGCAAGCAGTGTCCGGTGTTAAGTGGGAGAGCAAACATACAATGGACCACTCAAAACATACTCAGCCCTTACTTCTCTACATCTAGGTCAGCCCATGGGAACGTACACTTTGATTATTTATCCTTTACCATCTAAAACATAAACATACCTATCTATTTCCTTATTTATGATAAACACGTATCAACCCGTCTCCAATAAAAACAAAAGCCCGAAAAGCGGAACTAAATGCTTTACTCATCAGCTTAACTTGACACTAAAATAGTGACTCAGATTTTATTATCTCTGTTTCGTGCAAAAGTTAATTCATTATCACGAAATCACATCCTTCGCGGTACAAGGTGCCAGTAAGAGCGACAATCCAAGGCGACGCTGTGGAATGAAGCTATTGTATGACTCGTTCAGTTACTGGCTTTTGGGGTGGATTTGGCAAGAGTTTTAACACCCTAGCCAACTTAATATTATATTGTGCCCCTTTTCTTTTTTTTTTCTTGCTTAAAAAGACAATGACAGCAGATGTTGTTAACCGAGCTGAAACATTATCCAAAAATATGCACCTACGTTCATAAGGGGACTGACAATGTAAACGAAATTGGGAAAATGGATGGATCTGGGGGATCTTTATGAATTATTTGGTAACGCCCCCACTCCCCCTCCTTTAATACACCGTAAAAAAGAAAGCATTCCATTGCCACATTGTTTCCAATCAATCCTAAACTTACCATCGGCGTGCAAAGCTTTTAAAAAATCCCTTTATAGGTGAAAGTATATGTGTAATAGTCTATGTCAGCAGCAGGGCCTATTGTAACCACCGTTCTTAATACCTATTGTAAAGTCAGTCTTTGTCAAGATATAGGTTGATCTAATATCCGAATATTAACCCCAGCTCTCTCAGTGGTCGTCAGTGGTATGAAGCACTGACTTCGCGCGTCAAATATGCAGGTTGACCAATATCTAACCCACCATTATATAACTTACCAGGTCAAATCCTGTAAAATCTTCAAAATGGACATGACTTTTTGAGATGTAAATGATACCCTATATTTTGGACCCTCTGTATGGGTCAAAGAGAATACGCATTTTAGGTATTCTTATGCCTTACCTGTTGCTCAAAGTCTTCACGCAGGTGCCTGAGACACGATCTAAACTATAAGAAAAGTCACAAAATCAAAATTGCCAAATAGTAGTGGCTATAGTGAACGGTCTTGCCCTGTGAATAAGCATTGACGTGCAGAGATACAAAGTCACGGTGCGTGGGTTTCCACACGTTGAATCACGTCCACTTGCAGCCCTTACAGCACAATTCAGATATGTAACTGGGGTACTGGTGAGTCACCGCACTCCCTAAGAAAATCAGGGTGGTTGAAGGACAAAAACCTCTTCCGCCGGCTCAGTTTGATCGGTAATTGTGGCTGTTGAGGTCGTCTAGGGTTTATGTGGGACAAGGCATTGGTACTAAATGGGTCGCGAGCCTTCTCTTCTGTGTTCAATGTGTTTGTATATAGTGCAAATTATGACGCACGCCCTTCCCATTGTTGACCAACTTTATACAGCCGTTTATAGACAGTGTATAGAGTTTATATGGTTATGCACGCACGTGTACAAATAATACTGACCGCTTTTACAGACTGAGAGATGAATGAAATCTGTGAAATCATAGCCGGTCGGGCCGCATGCTGTACCTGACATGGGATACGTTCGGAATTCAGACTAAATGAAATGACATTTTTCAAAAAAATGTCGATAAAACAGTACGTCATGCCTGATTTTACATAGGTGGTTTAAGACAAAAAATAGACGTCATGTAGTTCTTTATTTTTAGCATTCTGAGCATCTGATTTCATAACTGGTAAATGAAGTGACAAGGTAAATGTATTAAATAAGGCATATATTGAACTGAGAAGAAAATTTTGTCAAGAAGTGAGAAATCAACCTGTGGTAGAGAGTAGCAGTATATTGTGCTTTTCACAATTTACACACTGCGAAAGAAAACACGATATAAACATCATGTTCCTGGATTTGAAGTCTTATCCCTGTTGGAGGTTTTCCTTCGCGGATTTTCACCTCTTATCCTCTTTTAAATTGAAAACAACATCTACACCAGTGATTTTAACAAGCGTTTTTTTTTTTAAACACTCACTCTAAACCAAACAAGCACTTTTTTGAATGGCTACTGTTGTCAGAGATTGCAGACTGAATGCAATGGCATTTTCATAAAAAAAATAGTGGTTGATAAAAACAGTCATGATTGATTCAATGGGTGGTCCATGTTTGAAGAAATGACAGCTTCTATTAAAACTCAGACGTCGGTTGTCAGTTATTTTAAGCGTCTGATTTCGTGACTGGCAAACTAAGCGATAAAGTACCTGTAAGACAGATACCTGTAAATTCATGATTCTGATTATTTGCAATCATGTAAATAGTAAATTGAGCCGTCATGGGTAAAATAAAACACCATTTTTAAGCATTTAATATTTATTTATTTATTAATGTGACATGCATGTGAATAAATATAAATATATAAATCACTCAGCTTTATGGGTCTACAAGTTACCGAACTTAATACATTTATCAAATACATAGAATTAAAGTTATAAGTTATATGCAAACACTATAAGATATATTATAACACAGTAGTAATATTAGTTGTTAATACTGATAATGCAGTAGTATTATTAGTAGTGGGATCCCGGGTTGGAAATTTTCTCTCTATTTACGTTTTTT